AATTATCCTTCATATCATCATTCGTGTAAACACATATTCAAATTTGCTTATTTACTTCCATAACTGCAAAGTTCAAGTAGGAAATTAACGTTCGATCATTGCTCGTTCTTGTGGTGGAACACTAACACTCGGAGTCAATATTTATTTATGTTACTTGCAAAACTTGTCTCTGATGATTTCTCGTTAGTTTTAGACTTACGAGTTGTCCTGTGTTTTGCCTCACTTAATGAAGTTTTTCAACGTGGAAACTGAAAGGAAGCTTTACTTAAACTTTGAACTATATTTGAGTTCAAAAGAGAAAATACCTATTTTAAGAATTCAGAAAAGCATTAGATATATAAATATCTGGAATAACTGACAAATTTAAACGCTAACTATAAAATAATATTCTTTCTTATCATAATCCTTGTTTATGATTGCTGATGACATTTGTTGTTAAAGAGCGACCTTAAATAAATAAATTAAAAAGATCTCTTTTACTTCTATTGTCAATTATCGCTTCTAAATTATTTAAATTTATTAAAATAAGGAATTTTTCTCACAAATGTTGCAGTATGTTTAGTATCGTAATGTATTTTGCAATGGAAACATCTCGTTATATGTCCTCAATGAATTTCACGAAATTTGAATAATTACAACCTATTACTAGGCGGTAAGTCTTTCCTTAGACTTTCAGATTTGTCTACTGTTCACATCTGTAAAAGGAGAAAGAGACGCGTAAGGTTGAAAGAGAAGAAGCACATGTTTCGTTTGAACTAGTTACATATTTAGCTTATTTCATGCAATTTCAGAAGTAGCGTTGAAGCAAGTAAAAGGAGACCCCAAACTATCAGCATGCTATCTAATAACGACAATGACTGGCGTAATATCGTAATACCTAATGCGTGCAAAAGTGTAGCAATTACCATTTTTTGTGTGTGGATCAAATGCGAGAGGTATTAATACAGTTGCAGAATAGCGAGATAATTCGTGGGATGTAGTGGTAATTGGGAGTTAATCAATTGGTCGTTATTTGTGGCTTCCCTCTTAAAACCAACACCTAGAGTAGTAAGGTGAATGTTTCTTGCATAGAGTAATAATAAATATAAGGTGAATATTTCTTACATAGAATAATAAATATTTTTTTCGCATTCAATTATTTTTGCAAGTTCGGATTGGATCAACGTTTTCTCCGATTCATGTAAATACGGTATATTATCAGCAAGTCATTTTAATTCGTACGCCATTATTTGATACTTTATGTCACATGCGCTGCGGTCTTCATTCTCTTATTTTTCTTCGCGTATTTGAAATGAAGAATAATGGGAATATCAAGATACGTGACACTGTACTGAAACGCAATGCGATGTAAAATGTAGAAGAAAAAATATCTACAGATAAAAGACGTCAAAGAAAATCAGTGCACTAACGAATTAGTTATTTCTGCAGGTGCCACAGCCTGGTAAACTTAGACGTAGATGCTTTCATACCTACGTGAAGATGCAAACTGAGATCAGCTGATTAAGTTCATTATTTCTCTGGAGTTCTTAGAAGATATTTCAGTAAAGTGAAGCTGAAGGCAAGCAATGAGCTCCTTAATATATATTATTCAAATTATATTGATTAATTATTAGATTTATTATTTAAATTAGTTGATATTCCTTGTTTTATCAGACGTAAGTCTTCTAGCGAGAAAGAGGTTCTTATTGTTTAACAATTAATTTAAAAAAATATCCTACAATAACACTTAGTAAGACTGATTTTGATATGTGCTCTAATCAAAAACGTGTTCGATCTTTTTTCTTATACGTTTACTTCTGTAATTACAAATAATTTCCATTCCATTGTTTATCAGTTGCATAAAGACCTTGCCTAATTGTAAGTTGGGCCCAAGGCAATCATATCTGCCCTACTCTCCATCAGAGACGATTCAAAATACCTCTGTTTTTACTTCTACTCATTAGGTGTGAAATCAAGTGTGAAAAAACTGTACAATTATCTCACAAACGATTTAGCATTCACGAAACAATGTTCAAAACAATTAGGAATACTCACAAACAATTTAAAGAATAATTTGCAATAAGTACTCGAAGAGTCATGCATCACAGAATTTCTGCGCCCCACCTCCCCCGCGACGTCTTGGCCCAATGTACTGGATGATCCGAACGCTGCGTGCGCTTTGGCCTGGCGCCTAGTACATGACGCGGGGGGCGGGGGGGGCAGGGGGGCGGGGCGGGATTTGGCTAATACCCGGCGCGTTGCACCGCCTGGCGTCGCAGGCCGCGGCGGCGCGGCGCGTGAGGCCGCCCTCGCCGCCGCGCATCGGCCCGCCTCGCCGCCGCCCTCGCCGCCGCCCTCGCCGCCGCCCTCGCCGCCGCCCTCGCCGCCGCCACCCGGGCCAAGGCCGGCCCCACCCCGTGCCAGCCATTCCTTTATGGGGCCGCGGCCCCGTCTCTTTATGGGGCCCAGCGCCGAGGTGAAAGCGCCCCTGCCCCCAGGCGCTCGGCCTCCGACAGAGCTCCTCCCGCGCTTCCACTCACCCGCCTGGGGCACTGCCCGCCTGGAGATGCACACGTTCGAGAGCAAGTTCAAGTTAAGTGTTGTACAAGTTTGGCAAGACGCACATTTTTTCGCGCACAGAAAGAATGTGATGCTTTTCCAGCGTTAGTTCTACTTACTATTGAGACAGCGTTGGTCTACATCCGATTGATCAGGAATATAATGCGGGAATTTATGTCTTACAAGTACATTATCAATGAGAACTAAATAAAGCAGAATATCTCTTCAAGGATGATAGTTAACTTGGCATTTAGCTCTACTGTTTGCTGATGGAGTCATGAGACTCACGACTCGTTTTGAATAATTTCCACTACATAATCTTATCACATTCATTAACATTTTTTTCAGGATTTAAACTGATGTCGAAGACATTCTATTCACTGCAGCTACATAAACATTCGCTATCAACAAACTACTGCGAGTACTGGCGTTACAGTTAGAGCACTGTAACAGCGAACAATCGTGAGCGTAGCATGCTACGTAAACAAGGACGCGACACATTCGGAAATATTTTTCAATTCACAGTAGCGTGTAGGAGCAATGTATGCTCATTTACGGTTGTTAAAAGTACGACTATCGCAAAGATAATGCAGAAGTACTGAGACATAATTGAGCTTAAATCAAACTCAAAACTAATAATTGTTGATAGTCGTTTTTAAAGACAATTATCCTTCGTGTTTTATACTGTTTTCGATAGCAGCTACGTTTTAATGACATGTAATACACTCGCATTTGACGTTCGCGCCTTCACCGGAGAAAGGAACTCAATTCCGATTCAACATTTAAGTTCTTCAAATTGGGCAACATTTATTAATTGGAAATCTCAACGATTTAGAGAAGTGTTCAAGGCAGACAGACGATGTACATTGCAACATTTAGTTCCAGGAAAAGGTATCCGATTTAGAGAGGTGTTTAAGATTTCGGAGGTCTAAACTTCTGATTTCCACTCTACAATGAAAAAAATTGTTTAAAAATTTTGTTAATAGAAGGTAGCTAGTATGTTGTGGCATGTTAATGAATGTATTTAGATTAAAACTATTTCTCGCATTAATTAATCTTGATCCATTATTATTGGCACAGGTGAATGAATTAAATAATTTCTCCTTAGATTTAACGACGTACTCAAACTCACCATCTTGTCACATTGATGAATGTTGTTCTTCTTAGAACAGTAAAAAACTTATTCATGGAATATGACGTATTTCAGGAGACCCTTTGAGGATGTCGGCCTTTGAGAGACGCCAATGCAGAAAATGCGAGCACTGACACGAAGTTGGATATTTTTGCACCGCTTTTACCTCAACTCGAGCACTCATTTAGCAGCTTTACCATCCAGAAGCGTATGTCATGCAATCCCGAATTACAAACACTAACACATTTCACACTCTTTCTTTCTCTCTCTCTCTCTCTCTCTCTCTCTCTCTCTCTCTCTCTCTCTCTCTCTCTCTCTCTTTCTCTTTCTTTTTTCTTTTTTCTTTCTCTCTCTCTCTCTCTCTCTCTCTCTCACACACACACACACACACACACATAGTGAGCAGACTTGTAAATCGAGTCTTAACGCGAGAATAGATTTCTTACATTATTCAGCCTCAATTTTTAAATTAGTTAAAACGAACTCACCATTTCACAAGTACCAGGTGAAATGCTCTGAAAATCCAAATTCTACTACTACAAAAATTATGATTGAATTTTCGGGAAAATACGGTTGATTGTGATTATATAAAACGAAACAGATGCCATGATGTTGTCGAAACCTTTTACTGACATGCGATCACTCAGGACAGGATTTGTCGTCAAAAAGCACATAGCCTCGTTTAGGTGTATCTTACATGAATCAATTGAAACTACTAAAGAATATTTTTGGAAAAGTAATTTTTACGATTGAAGCGACTTCGATTCACTAAATTTCATTTCTATTCATTATTTGTGTTAATACCCTAACAAAATATCCGTCCGTCCGTCCGTCCGTCCGTCCATCCACCCATCCATCCATCCATCCATCCCTCCTCTCTCCTTTTTTCTGGTAAAAAAAATATTCTAGTACATTGATCTAGTCTATATATTTTCGTACTTTCCGATTTTAATTTGATTTTTTAAATAAAAATACTTTTATGTAATTGCATAAGTAGTTCATTATTATGATGCCATACGGTGTAGTTAAAACTAGAATGATAACACTTAAAAATTAATCTTAGGGAAATAATTATATTAAATTTATGCATGAGAAAGCCAACTTTGTGTTGCATGCCATGTTTAGAAGTTGATGTGAAGGAGACAAGGTAGCAAAAGCATTTGTTTCTTTAAGTAGTACAAATGTCGTTCTATCCCATACCTTTTGTACGTATTTTATTAATTTTTTAGAGATACTGATAAAAGTAAACCTAGATAGCTGCGTTAACATATGTGACACTTGCAATAAATATTATGTTTCTTCAATATTCTGTAATAAAAATTTCACTCACATTCTCAGCATGCCCACAATCGCTTGCGGATTTTCAGCTCACTTACCTGAAAAATAAAAAGACTTGTGAGTACCGAATTAAGTTTCACTTTACTGGATCTTATATTTAAAGTCCATTTAATTTAATATGGCTGTAAAATTAATCAGGGCAACACACTTAACGTTTTACCGAATTTAATTTCACTCAAATGAGATATCACCGAAATTCCTTTAGGATACAATAATAATTCACGATAAAATGTTCCGAATAAGACATAAAACCTGATTATTCAAACAAATTATAGGCAAATAGTGCACCTTTGTACTACTGTACCCTTTCTGAAAGTTTAAAATGCGAAATTGTGGAGTAATAAGAACCTATATTGCAGAAAATGATGAACGGTGAATATGATAATTTGAACTCACATTTCAATTTGTGAGTTTAGAACAGAATTGGAACGTGTCATTACAGAATACCGACTATAATTATTTATTTATGTCGACAACTTTACTAAAGAATTTTACATCATTTAATTTATGGAAATGACAACAAAATTCAAGTAATTTAGACACGTCTAGTTGTTGTTGAATACGATTCAACATCACAATCTACAACAAAAGTAAAAGTATCTCGCAGATTCTTTTCACTGTCATGGGTGATATGGTAATCAAAAAAATGGAAAAAACAGTTCCTGGAATCCTAGGGGTAACAATTCAATTTTCATTCTGAACAATGTAGTATTTCGAACAGGGTAATTAAATAATATCATAATAAAATATATTGGGAGAAGTAAAGTCGGATTAGCTGTTTACTTCATAAATTATCTACTAAAACAATATGCTTACCATGTCCGGAAGTTTAAAATTTATCTGGAAATAAATGTTTAACATTGTCAGGTTTGTGAAATCCTTCATATCTTTCTAATTTCGTTCACATTTTCTCTTCATCTATTACTCATTTTTTCACTCTTACTGAATGGTCAATAAGCGACTCTCACTTGGTACATGCCGCTTTTAAATCAATGGGTTTTTTGTTTATGTCAGTTGTAAGAATAATTTTCACTTGCTTCAAGTTATGTTTATAACTTCAATAAGATTTTGATGGTTCCTTTTGATGTTTTATTTCACTGACCAATTATCCCGTTTACACAACCTTAGCTGGAAGGCTTAATTTAACGGCATGACATGAACGAATTCCTGCGAAATCTGAAGTTAATTTTCAGAATAACTTTTATCAAACTGCAATAATTACTACAGGAGTTTTGTATTTTTATTAGTACATTATTGTGACAATTTGAATTATTCCACTCGCCACTCACTAATTTTGCCTACTATCCCTCACCTTCATTAGTTAGCTAACAATTAGAGTAACGGCTTCATCGGAGAAATCTTCTATTTACATTCACATGCCTTACCTCTCTACAGGGCTTGTTGGAAGAGGTCAGTGTTTCATTGTATTGTTTCATCTTCAGCACAATCTCAAGGCTTCTTCATGCCATTGCAACTGTATTTCTTGGTCCTACGATGCCTATTTCAACTTTGCCCGTATCCCGGAAACATGTCTGATAATGGATTCCACAAAAGACATACCGAGTCGCGATATTTTCCCACTTACAATTTCCTTCACGTGTACTTCGTGAAACGTTAAGTAATAGAACATGCCTCAGTACCTTTCGTATCCATTTACTTCATTACATCCACTATTTTTCTTTTATTTGTAGAATTTTATTTAACAAAATGCCATTACTTTGCTAGTTCCCTAAGACTGCATCATCTGAACTAGTTCTGTCGTCTTTGATTACGGTCCTGGTTTGGTATCCATAAGTAAATGTGCTCAACGTAAAGCATTTCAAGATTTATTTCTATTATTTCGAGAAATATAAACCAATGATTCTGAGATGCTGATACGAGAACACTGCTAGCTCAAATTGCAATTTAAATGCAACTAGATTTGCGTAATTTTAACGAGCCAGCTTTCATTTGAAATAAAATATTTTTTGACGTACGACTATTTTGTTTTAGAATGCCTGAGTGACATGTAGATATGCATATAAGCAATGAATGTTTATTTGCCGCACGTTATTCAATAAATATTCACAGAATGATACACACGTGTTCAGATTCACACATTCCTAATCTACATTAGCATTTGACTCAGTCTTCGTGTACATGTTTGGTTTGTAGAACTTTAGAGGTACTACCTACGCTGCTACTTATAGAAGAATGTGCAATGTGCAAGGCGATGGGTTCGGTGCTTAAATAATACGATGTCGAATACGGCGTAAAGGGAGGAAAGGCTGAAACGGTAAATATTGAGGGAGGAGCAGGAGCGAATGGAAGAACGAGAGGAGGGTAAGTGGCTTACATCGCGCAACGAAGCGCGATTGCGTTTGCTCAGCGCACTTTCCGCGCGGGTCGTCGCGGCTTCCGGGCGCCCGGCGGCGAACGCTTGGAGGGGCGGGGCCTCCGGTCCTCGGAAGCGCGGTGGGCGGTAAGCGGTGGGCGGTAGGTGGTGAGCGGTGGGCGGTGGATAGGGAGAGGTGGGCGGGGCCGCGGGGGAGGAGGCGGTGCGACAGGAGCAGCCACCATTTGGGATGAGAGCAGCCTCATTTGGATTTACTGGTAAATCCCTCTTGCAGCAACTCACTCTGCAAGAAATGCGGGTAAAATTGGAATAAGGTTGTCATGGAAATGAAGAGAAACGCAACTCCATCCATAACTGAGTACTTTATTAATAAATATAATTCTCCTTCTATTCTTACATGATCGATCTCAGTTCAAGATTTGGGGGCTGCATTCGACCAAAGAGGCTTGAAGGTTTTTCTAGCTGGCGATTTGAGTGGTGGTTACCCATTGTCTTCTATTGCATGAATGATTGAAGAATAATTGTAATCATCTTATCTATTTCTTTCTAGAATTCATTTTACCCTTTAAATTCGTTGTAGATAATGGCATTCTATCGATTAATTTGCCTTAATGGAAAATCCAATTGTATTGTCAGCACTGTTCTTCTACGAGTAGAATATCCAATCTCGATATCCTTATAGAATAATGGAGACCAAGAAGCAGATAACTTATTCACTGTCGTATGTTTTTACCGTGCAAGTATCAAAAGAGTGATGATAATTCAAATTATCAAGTTGATATTTGCATTTGCTCTTCACGCCACTGTCCCAAAGTAAACTAATGCATTTCGTATGCACTTAGAGGCGACGAGCTTCGTGGGGATATTTCCGCCGCAGGCAGCAGCCCCCTTTGAGTCCCCATTCCTTTCGTAATTCTGTACTGTAATGTCTACCTAACGCAACCACCCTTAACGGGAGGCTTCCGCTAACGGGCCTCTACCAGCCCCGTGTCCATTAAAAGCAATCAAAACTAATGAGGTATAGCTGAAACGGGATAGATGTTTACTTATTCCATAACTGATATTGTTTGTTTGTAATTGTCTTCTTATATAAAGATGGTCTGATGAAACGGATTGAACGGCACAAGCCACTTAACGAAAATAACGGATTTCGTTACTTGCTGTTTATCGGAGTAATAACGTGATACGCGTAACCACGATACACTCAACGTACGATGCGCCTTTCACCGCCGGGTTCGCCCCTTTCCCGGAAGAAAGCACGTCCCTTGGTTCCGGGGGCGATGCCGTGGTGAGGCCCGCTTCGTCAGAGCATTTGCGCCCGATGGGGGGGAGGGGCGAGATGCGCCTGGAGCGACCGCAGCTGCTGCGGAAATGCGCCGTTGGCACGACGCCCGCCCCGCCGCCCCCCTCCTTCCTCGCCCACGGCACCAGCGGGCACCAGCGCTCGCACTTGCGTTTCTCGCCCGCCGGAAACGCGCCGTCAGGAACTGCGCTGCGGACCATTTGCTCGCAGCCATTCCCACTCGCGTACTGCTTCTTATGTAACTTATGCTTTTGCAACGGGTACCCACTTCATTTGAAACCACCTCGTACAAAATCCACCGTTTGCGTCACTTTTATCTTTTAACGTTGACTTTTTTAAATTATTAAGAAAATGCTCGATATATATTTCTTGAAATACTAACAGCCAAGTACAACCATCCCAAAGAATAATTATTTTTCGCTGCCGCCCACCGCGAGGATCACCTCGCGTGCTTCGTCCACAAGGGAGGATTCGGAACCTCACTCCTCCTCTCCCTTCCTCTTACACCGGGGCGTGGGGCGAAGGGAGACGGGGTGATCGATCCGGGTGCCCGAGCAGGGTGGGGCCAACCTTCGGAGCCGGGGGGGGGGACTCGAAGGCGCGCCCTGCGAAGGGCTGGCCGCGAAGCTCAGGAGGTGTGGAACGCGGCCGTTCACAAGTGGGCTCACTCGCATTGACGCTTAAGAAACAAGAGCTCGTGTAATCATTTTTATAGAAAAGTCTCCTTCAAATTCGTATCTTTCTTAACCAAAAATGGGAAAGATATTGTGGTTTGTGAAAGTAGAATTTGGAATTGAAAAAACCAAAGTGCTAAATAATATATGGATATACTCAAATTACGTTGCAAAATAATTCATTTACATTTTATCTCGTGTAAAACAATCTGTTTTCAGACACAAGTTCTCGTTTATCCAAAGTTGAAATGTTGAAGTAATTCTAAACAAATTGGAATTATTTCTGATTCCGGTTTGCCATAATCCTAATTCGAGAAAAAAAGAGAAAGATTAAGATATCAAATATTCTTAAAAACCTCAATGCCGTCATTCTTTTGCCAATTTGGATGACAATTATGGTAACTTAAAGCTTAAGGATCCGAATGTAAATCAGATTCTGGTTCGATTCCCGGTGAGGGTGAATAACGCTTCGGATATTTTCAAGTGTCTTCAAAATGTGTACATTTTGTGTTTGCGTATTCATGATTATCTTAAAATAATAGGTCTACATTATTCTTTCCTTATAAGCGTGTTGTGGAAAATAGGACCCTACATAATGAATCTCGCGAATGCACAGAAACCACATTTGGGTCTTGTCAGGTGCAGTAATATTATCCAAACTTAAATAGAGTTGTGACTGTAAAAAATAAAGTACAAAATGTATGGTGGCGCCTTTGCACGTGGAACATAGGCGCATCCAAGAAGTGAGGTAAACTGCCCAAAGGTATACTTTACACATTAGAAATTGACTATTCTAAAATTAATTCCTAGGTAACATTACTCTTGATCTAATTTGTACTTCTTGCCGTGTAGAGCCGCCGTTCACCACTTGGCGCAGGGAAACCTGATGAAGGTAAACAGTGGCAGAGGGGTTCTGTCTATTGATATGATACGTGATGCAGAAGAGGGGCAAGAATGAAATATTTATGATAGAAAAAATGAAATCTTTCAGACATAATTTTTAGAAAGTGCGCAGAAACTCCTGATAGATTAAAATTTTGTGTTATAATTATAATTTTAAATATAAACGTTTGGTATTTTGTTTGTATAAATGTAATATAATAAAAGTACAATAGTTTATGTTTAAGCAAGATTAATTTATTTTAATAAAATAAATTCTCTTTTTTGATTCGTTAGCATTGATTTGATAAGAATGATCATTTTGAATACTAGAAAAAATAATTTTAGGACTACCTTTTGAACTATTTATCGTTTTTTTAAAATGTAAATTATTACGGTTTATTTTGTGCATGAATTCCTTGTTCAATATATAAGCACCACAAAGTGAGCATTTGCGATCAATACAGGAATGAAATTACTATATTCCAGTAACCTTCTATGATGCGAAGCTGCACGCGTCTAAGAAGGCATAGCTCATACATCCCCTGAAAGCTGTGGAACGATTTTCAAACGCTATAAAGATGCTATTTCGACTGGGCAAATGCCGAGCAGTCAGTGTGGTTAAAGGTAAAGTGCAAAATATTGTATACGTTCATATAAGATATGTAGAAGCATATGCGGAGAAGAAACTGAAGACACATACCTGGGTACGGAACAAGATACGCCCATTGATAATACCAGTGTAAAGAAGGAACTAGCCACCAAATTTAGACGGATAGTACGAAGAATGTTTAAAAAGGAACATAATAGAGCGAATACTTCCAAAGATATTTACGCCTACACCTTGCCCGATCACAGGTGAAATTGAGTTGTGGAGTGTCATATTCAAAGAGAATATTCGATAAAAAAATAAATATCATCCTAGAGCTTAAGTTAATTGTGTGACTCTCACCCGACACCTCGACGGAGGAGGCTTCGCTGATATAGCGAGCACGTTGAGAACTTCAGAAAATTCTTCCATGATAAATATACAGTTTCCAAACGCCAGGCTGTAGTTTTCACAGTGCACAAATAGACAGTTTTAAAGTTATGCTATTCAAAAGTAGGCCTTATGTTATTCAGTATGCAGCAAAAATACGATGCGTAGATGGCAAATCTCGTACATATAATACTTTCAAATGAGATCAACCAAGTGTATGTGAACACAGAAACGTCAAACACTGGTTGATCTCAGGTGAAATTTTCCCTGAACCGCAAGGATTCATGGTCGCCATACGAGATCGAGTAATTCCAACATGCAATTTCATAAAATATATAGTTCTTAAAGAAGCAAGTATGGTTTAGCACAGCCACTGCAGGTACAGTTGAGAACCAATTGAATCGATAAAGCACGTTACACCTGGTGCAGTACGAGCCCTGCAGGTATGGTTGAAAACAAATTGAATAGATAAAGCTCATTTCACTAGGCTGCACTCGTCAAGCTGAATTCGAGAACAGGAACAGATGATGCAGTATCTGTTCCTGTTGGCCCATAAATACCTGTTAATACTTTATGCGCGAGTGCCGCACTAATTGTACAGATATAACGTAGAGAACATTTTGGAAAATCGTTATTGTTTGTACAGAAACAACGGTTCTTACAAACAGAATCATCAATAGACCTGATTATGTTCCGTACGAAGGATTTGTACGTTTTATAAAAATTCACAAACACCGTAAACTACTATTACTGGTTAGGGAATTATCCTCACAGGATGCACCAAACGGATCTAAGGCGAAAAATACATAATTGTGTGGATGAGCAGGCGAAGGCATCAAGGCGAAACAAATCAGCAGGTTCAGTCGCACAGCACGATCCGCTGCTCCTCACGGCACCAAGTGCAGGGCGGAGCTGTGTCTTCGGTATCCGATGCAGAAGGTTCAATGGACTGCGAGCGGATAATAACGCGAAATCAAGAGGTTTATGTCTAATTTGAATAGGTTACGTATGCATAACAAGATTTAACCAGCTTAGAACCAATTCCATTTTATGCCATCGAGTTACCCATTCTAGGACTCCTTTTTTGAAAATGAATTCGTAAAAGATTCGTTCGTAAACTATCTGAAGAACAGGCAACAACGCGGATCGAATATTTTGTCTAAAATACAAACAACTCAAGTTGCCCTTACATTCCTTCAATAGTCATGTCATAGAGTGGTTTAAAAACAAACATTTTACGAATTTATTTTTTGAATTCCTTGGTTGCGAGGTAGTCGTAGGACACAGAAGCGTAGCTGGTTGCAATGGGCGTAAACACAATATATTGCTCTTTCACTTTACATTTGCAGTCGGAGAGCTGCAATCTGTTAAATGAAGTCACGGCCGATTGAATGAGAATTGCACGTCTACAGTAGATATTGAACGATTAGATACAATATAGATGGCGGTGAGCGGGTTACAATCCGGTGAATTGATGGGTACGGCAGAGTAGAAGCGGGAAAGAACATAACTATATATCTGTATCTGTATCTGTGTGTGTGTGTGTGTGTTGTGGGGTGGGTGGGTGGGTGGATGGGTGGGTGGGTGGGTGTGGTGGGTGTTATGGTTTGTGGTTGTGTGTGTGAAAAGGATAAATATAAGTATTTTTCATTCTTTTTGTGAATAGTTTATATTTTCGATGGCATAGTGTATCGTACAGCAGCTCTGTCCATAGGATTTCTAATGGTACTAATAACCTATTTTTCTTTTCTTCGCGGCAATAGTTCTTAGCGGAAACTACAGTATTTATAAATAATTTACTGCCATAACGTACTATCGCACAACGAAGTGAACTTTACTTTTCAGCAGACATCGCAGAAACGACAAAAACAAAACAAGCACTTTTCCCAGACTGTCTCAGCTAGCGTCAACATTGGTCAGATGCCGTTAATCATCGGCACAGACTCATCGATGTGTGTTCGGCCCCTCACTTTCAAAACAACAGCAATTCCTTTCTGACGTCTGCAAATGTGCAATGAACAAGGAATTTAGAGGAAGTGGCCAACGCGCTGAGAATACCTCCTCGTTCAAACACTGACCCTCTCTCTTTTGCATTACTTATTGTCGTTTCTTGAAATATGTTTCCACTATTACATTGCTGAAATTCATCGAAATAATATTTATTAAATATTCTGGTTACAAGTATTTTTTGAGATGTTTTACCACGAGAGAACTTCACTATATTGTTGAACGGACTCACCGCCTTTATAGGGCGTTGGCGAGGATCCTCTTTCGAGCCCCCCCCCCCCCGCGGCGCAGTGCACAAGTTGCACCAGCCCAGCTACGCCCCTGACCACAAGCGTCTTAACCCTCAAACAATGTGTTTCTGTCCACGAGTTACGTATCTTGAAATGTAATTTCTAATCGAGATCTTCTTGGACCAATTTTATTCCCCTGCTACGTCATTCTCGGTATTCCATTGTTATGCGCGGATAACTAAAAACGTACGTAATCATAAAATGTGCAGATAATAGACTGGATAATTACAATTTTGTGCAATATTTTTTAGGTCTAAATCGTTTTCTTTGTTAATTAAACACATCATATTAAAATGTTTACATTCAAACACTACTTGGCCTAAATGAAATAACACATAGTTGATCGATCACAGTTCGAGTTTGTCGTTTGCTTGCAGTGTGAGATAATTTTCACTTTAAAATAAAGTTCCACAAAGTGCAGAAAGTGTATTATATCACATTTTCGAATTTTGCCAGAGCATTTTTTGGAAAAATTATGAATAATTAATTATAGAATCTTGCCTTTCGACAGCAGTTTATTTTTTATTTCTCCAACAATTTCTGTCAAAAATTCAACAAATGACGTAATCCTCAAAAATGTCGTCAAATGCTTAGTTCTTAGTTAACGATATACATTTATCTTCCAAATTGAAATTTTCTTGTAGTCTAATGTAATCTTACGAATGGATCATCTGCTTTCCTCTCGAACCTATGACATATTCATTGTGGACCCTGAATGCTTTATTTTCTTTTTGAAATGTTTTCAAATTTAATATGGCAATTTCATTTGTTCAATCAATACCAAACTAATAAAATATTCTTTGAAGTACTGTTCGCATCTACAAGAATATCATAAAAGTAGAGCAACTATAAACAATTATTGAGGCAACAGTAACACAAAGTTTGCACAGCGATATAAAATAAATTAAATTCAACATTCTATAAAATATATACTGTATTACAACTTCAAATGAATGCACTATTTTTCGTACATCTAGCAACTCACAAATTTAGACGAAATCGCATATCATGTCTAAACAAGAAAGAGACGAATGTTCAGGCACTTCGATGTATGTTGACTTAACGTCACTGCTGGGAACCATTCTAGCGCAAACAGGTGATAAGTAAATGCGCAGTTACTTGCACGTACGTTGAATTAAAACCTCGGCTCAAGAACCGTTGGATGTAGCCACCAATGTCGCATTTTTTGGCAAACTCAAACTCCTCCATTCGGACATCCGTCAGCTATCCCTCATATCGAACTCTCGCCCATAAGCCACGCGTGTGTGCAGTCAGCGTGCGGGCGTGGGCGCGGGCGCGAGAGAGAGGGCGTCTGGGTTCCGCGTTCTGCCCACAGCTCACGCCTCAGCTCAGGCTTCTTCGCGATTCGGCCCCAGGCCTCCGACTTCACGCCTGGGCCATACGCTTCAAGCCTCAGGCTTCAGGCGTAACGTCTCAAGCCCCAGGCTTCAGGCTCTTCTCCTTCAGGCTTCAGGCTTCTCGCCCTTCACCTCAAGGCGGAAGGCTTCAGGCTTCGGCCTTACGCTTCAAGCCTTACGTTGCACGCCTCAGGATTCGGTCCTACGTTTCAAGCCTCAGGTTTCAGGTATAGGCCTCAGTCCTCAAACCTTAGACTTAAGGCTTTATGCCCCCTGCGACGCGCCTATGTGCGCCTTCTGGTGCGTCAACCCCTTTTTGCACATTGGTGTACCTTTCACACATGGAATGTTCACAAGCAAGTTGCATGTAACAGGCATTCGTAAAAATAAACTATCAGAAGCTGCGATTTCAATGTCAAACTAATTATTACGGCAGGTGAAGTCGAGTGCTTTGGCGGACAATCTGAAGTTCCTCTTGACTGAGGGAGACGCCGTTTGAAAGGTTGGTGCGCCACTTTTAGATCAGCTTTCGAGACCTTCTTAGGAGATGTCATTCGTTCATATAAGTTGCAGCTGCATATTAGTGGCGTCACCAGGAAAGTTAAAAGTTTCAAAAATAATTATTAATTTTTTGAAGATTTATCTAAACTATCGGTAGTATATGCTAATTACTATAGTTAATTTGCTAATTGCTAATAATATTAGACATAGGTAGCATTGTATTATGATACTACGCAATTAGATACATGAAACAGTGTATGTGTGCAGTATTGGTAAAACTAAGTATGATTGTGTAATATGATGAAGGGATAAAAAAAACTTGTATTTTCGAATATACGGTTTGCTTAGAAAACAGGTAGCATACGAATAATAGAAAATAAGTATATATAGAATTCGCATAAATACGGATTGTAACGCAAAGCAACTGTGAAGATTTCGGTTAAATTGAATATTAGTGGTTTGTATTTGACGGCAGAGACAATATTTGCATCATTTAGAGTCTTGCCGGTAGACAACAGCTAAGCTTATTCATGGTTGTGACTAAAAAAAATAATCTTTTATAAAATAGAAATATGCCACAAGAGTCTCAGAATT